TCCCGAATTACAGAGGGTGCAGGCTGGGCTAAGGGGATTCCCCCCCCCCCCACGCAGGAATTTCATGCACCGGACCTTTATTAATTAATAATAATAATACAGGAATAAACTCTGCCCTGGCCAGTGTCCTCGGCTGCTTGGGTGTCATCCCATTCACTGAAAGGTCTCTGGTTTGATTCCAGGTCAGTGCAAATCCCCAAATGGATCCCCAGTAGGGGACGTGCAGGAGGCTGCAGATCTGTTTTTCACTCCCTTCCCCTCACTTCATCTCTCTCCCCCCGAAAAAAGAATAAAAGTATTTTCTAAAATATTTTAAAAAGAATAATCTCTGTGTTTTCTGAACTTACAACTGTGAGCCTATTATTGCCCCACCCTGTGTATGAGTTACAGGTGGGTTTATGTCACATGTGACGGTTTCACAGCTTTATCTCTAGGTCAGGGCTCACCAAATAGCACACGTGAGAAAGGGGCACTTTGTTGCATGTCAGTGCTCATTTCCTGGGAGGACGAGCCTTGCCTCAGTGGCAGCAAATGTTGTCAAGAAGTGAAGACTATTGCCATTGGAATCAATAGGAATGCTGACTGGTTACAAAAGACACATCCTGGGACTGACTACAGCATTATCCTTCCTCTAGCTTTGAGGTTTTGCCAGTTGAGCAACAACCTTGAGGTCAACACCCTAGAGGGACCAGGGGAATCCAAAAAAAACCAGTAGATTATTTTGCTGCCAGTGACTTCCGCTACAGGAAATAGTGATGGAGGTCCTCAGAAAGTAATCAAAGATCATATAAGACACAGGCCCTGGAATAATGTGGACTTATGTCCAGAAGAGGCAGTTTTCATCTAGTTTAACCACAGTGTCTGCTCTGACTATGAAAACAGTGTTTATGTCCCAATACTAATGCCACCTCAGAGTCTTACAACAAATGACACCAGTCTATGAAATCTCATACATCGTGACACATGGCCTCTTTGGAGCACGTGGAGAGTACTTCTCCTAAACATTGCTGACACTTGTGTAATACATACTGTGAACAGAGAATATACTTCATATCGTTCACAGAAGCACAATAAAGGCCGCCTGTTCAGGGTGACCACTGACCTCTACAAGAGGCACCAGAAGCAGATTAGAACCACAAAGTCATGCACAGTCTCTCTCAAGGCCTTGGTCACCAATACAAACTCAGCCAATATTAGACAAAGCATGATTTTCTGCCATCAAACTGTGCCTTCCAAGCACGGAAAGTTTGGGACCCACTGTATATGTTCACTTGTCCATGCTGACACATCACAACTTTACTTTCAATCATCCCAGGGAGAGAACAGAACCAACAAAATTAAAGAAAAAACACCTTTGCATAAAGATGATAAACCAGAGCAGAGGACAGCAAGGAGTTTGCAGATTGATGAATTGGAACTTGAAACACTTCCTCACAGCACAATGTGAGTCCCACAATGTCCCTGAAAGAGGAAGCACTTAGCTGAGGAGGGTGCTCTGGACAAAACCTGGGTCAGGTCAATTCTCTGGTCAGAAATAAAGGAATGAAGATCCACCCAGGAGCTCAGAATATTCATAATTTTCTCAAGCACAACCCCAGAGTATGCAGGGGTTGTGATGGATGCACACTCTTCAGGGGAGCCAGGTGGTAGAGGTGAAATAGCTTCGACACAAACACTTGCAGTGACATCAATCAGGTTGTAGGCCTGAGTAGGTTAGCAAGTCGGATGCGGTTTCTGAAAGCGTCACTTATACCTGAAACTTAGGAGGCATCTAGCAGAGTGTATGTTCTGATAAAGGGGTTTGCATTCAGGTAAATGGGGGTAAAAGCTTCTCCTTTGGTGTTATTCTGAGTGAGAAAGTAAAATATTCCCTGCACATTTAAAGCTTTTCTCCAGCGTGTACTTTCAAGTGTTGAATGAGGACATATTTGAAGCGAAAAGATTCCCCACATTCACTGCACTCATGAGGTTTTTCAGCAGTGTGAACTCTGAGGTGCTGAATGAGGTTAGATCTTTGCCTGAAGCACTTCCCACAATCACTACATTGATGGGGCTTTTCTCCGGTGTGAACTCTTTTGTGGATAAGGAGATGAGTATTTTCCTTAAAACATTTACCACATTCACTACACTTATATGGTTTTTGTCCAGTGTGAACTTTGTTGTGTTTACTGAGGGAATACCTGTGACGGAAGGACTTCCCACAATCACTACACTTATGAGGTTTTTCTCCAGTGTGAATTTTGTGGTGGTTAAAGAGGTTAGAGTATTGGCTGAAGGACTTCCCACAATCACTACATTGATATGGCTTTTCCCTAGTGTGAACTCTCTGGTGGATCAAGAGGACATAACTGCGGCTAAATGATTTTCCACATTCACTACATTTGTAAGGCTTTTCTCCAGTGTGAATTCTCTTGTGGGCAGAGAGGTCATAACTGCACCTAAATGAATTTCCACATTCACTACATTTGTAAGGCTTTTCTCCAGTGTGAACTCTGTGGTGTTTAGTGAGGTGAGACCTTTCATTGAAGGACTTCCCACATTCACTGCACTCATATGGTTTTTCTCCAGTGTGAAGTCTACGGTGTTTTTTGAGGGAAGACCTGTCATTGTACAGCTTCCCACATTCACTGCACTCATATGGTTTTTCTCCAGTGTGAACTCTGCGGTGTTTAGTGAGGGAAGAGCTGTGATTGAACAGCTTCCCACAGTCAGTGCACTCATAGGACTTTTCTTCAGCGTGAACTCTCCTATGTCTATTGAGGTTAAAGATACATGTAAAAACGTTCCCACAGGTATTACACTCATATTTCTCTTCCCCAGAGCAGACGCCCTGATGTTGAACAAGGTTCCGGTTGTGGCTGGCAGCTTTTTCACAATCATCCCACTGGTGATGCCTTTTTCTTTTGAGAAATTCCTGTGAAATCTCACTTTCACTGTGTGGCTCCTCAGTGTTGAGAGTTACCTGCTGCTGGAGAAGCCCTGAGATGCCTGGGAAGTCTTCCCCAACTGCCTTATTGGTTGTAGGCAGCCCTGATAAGTAGAAGCTGCACCTGGTCACAAATGAGGCCCTTTCCACAGCTCCTTTCCAGGGCTTCTCTCCACCTGCTTCCCTCTGTGGTCGGTGAGGGTTTGCACTGAAACAGAAGTCTCTCACACATGCGTCACTGAAGAAGGCTTTCTGCTCAAAGTCTGCTGCTTGTGACTCAGTCAGGTGCATAATGTTTTTGAACACAGAGAAACACCTCCCACAGAGCAGGGTCCTCTGGGTTGCTGGAGCTGTCTTAGAAGCACTAACCTTTGACTCCCCTTGTACAGATACACTCTGCTCAGAACAGGCCTCTGCATCACCCATTTTATGCCTACAACCTGCAAAGAGAGAAATGGTGATGAAATGAATGTGGACTGTGGTGACAGGATAAGTCTCATTACAAAAGTGTGTTGCATATTAACACGTTGGTTACATGCAATTGTCTGACAGTAAAATATCTGAAGGAAATATTGATAAGATGCTGCTGAATGAGAACAACAAGGGAAGATCTGGGCCACTGAAGATAACCATACTAGGAAGATCTCAAACAAAATATGAAACGAACATGGCAAGCACCACATAGAACAGAAGCCGGATTGTCTGCTCAGGCATCTGCTAACAGTGTTCAACAGGACTTTGTCTGCTGGTAACATGGGCAAGCTGTGCGGAAGGCTGGCTACATCTTATTCCAAGTAAAATTCAAGAAACGAAAAGCTTGTGTCTGGGTCTAGTGAGCACGTCTGTGCACCTCATAACACATGTGCAGGTCAATATGTGAGAATACCTCAGATGGAGCAGTTCAGAGGAACGGGTGCTGGAAAAAGTGAAAAAGGTGAAGGAAGCCAGAAACCAGGAAGTCACAGATTAAAAGATATGTCAGGGAAGTGTCAAGCAAGGGAATGAAAAGGTATAAACATGAGCTGCTGGCAGTGGCACATCATCCTAAACTCTGTTGGAAATGAGCAGGTTCCTGGTATAATCTAAACACCACCCTTATGTCATACCTCCCCCCAGTTCCAATCAAGAGGGTCAGGCAGCCCTGACCAGTTTGGCTCAGTGAATAGATCATCAGCCTGCAGACCGTAGGGTAACAGGTTGATTCCAGTCAAGGGTATATACCCTGGTTGCAGTCACATCCCCAGTAGGGGGTGTGCAATAGGGAGCTGATCGTTGTTTCTCTCTCATTGATGTTTCTAACTCTCTATGCCTCTCCCTTCCTCTCTGTAAAAAAAAATCAATTATATATCTATATCTATATCTATATCTCTCTATCTATACACACACACACACATATATATATATATATAAAGTGGGCAAGGCAACCCTTTAGATCATCCTGCATGTTCACCCTGTAAAAAAAAACCAACAATACAGGGTTCTCCTTGAAACTTCTACTGTACAAGCACATAAAACACAAATATTCTGAGTTTTATTGAAAGACAACAGAGGTGAGTAGGCAGCACTGGCCCAGAGCAAGACAGCCTGCAATGGTATTCAGGGAACAGAATACGACAAACAATGGAAGGAGGCCTTTCAAGAACCAGCCATGGTTCATGCAAGTGAAGACCATAACCTGGCACAGTCAGTCACAAAGAGCCTTTAGCGGAAGGAATGGTGCAGAAGTGGAAGCCATGGATGTGGACACAGACACCCTCCCAGAAAGAGAAAGTGCAAGCTGGGCCCATTAACCTATTTGCAACAATCCTGACCCCCAGACACGGCCTGTCCTATCTGAGGCTGTGGGTGTGAGGGACATTCATGGAGTCCTTTGCTCTGGGCTCTCCACACAAGCAGCACTCTCAGCCACAGTGCATTTGACAGGTAATGGGATAAAATGGAAGAGCCCATGGTCTGGCTGTGGGAGAGAGAAACCTACATTTGGGGAATAAAGGAGGAGAAGACTCCACCTCATGATACTGGGATAATGTGAAGCTCTTACCTGCAGATGAGACCAGAGCAAACACTTCCAGCATCACATCGCAGTACAGAAGTCTCTGAGCCTCATCAAGGAGCCCCCACTCTTCCTGAGAGAAGGCAACGGCCACGTCCTCAAAGTCCATATCCTGTCGTGATGGGGACAGTTCAGTCCATGATCAGGTTCTCTCCTAGATTTTAATTTCATCACACTTCCCAGTCTCCATATGCATCGGCTCCCTCTACTCCCCACATCACAGAAAATAGTAGGTCTTGCATACATCAGAGTCACTCTCTCCTTATATTCCTACTGATACTGTATCTTCCCACAGCAATAGAGCAGATGCCCAGATTGATTATACCTGATCTCAGGGCCTCACATTTAGGGTCAACGCAATGGGTGTCACCAACACAGGGGACAGATAAATGTTGGCCATAAAGAGAGATGTGAGTGATTTGACACTGGTCCTATGAGGCAATATCCTTGTTGTCCAACAGGTTCTCCTTCCAAGACCCCGAAGAACATGGCATCACTGGTCACCCTTTTGATTCCAGTCCTAGGGTGCTGAGGTCAACACTTGGCGCTACCTGTTCCACATAATTCTTCCTATTCCACTTCTCTCCTATAGCTTCATTCCCAGAGTCACTACTTCCAAGACACACATATATGCCATGAAGAGGAGGGAATATTTTCTAATGACCCTCATTTCAACATTCTAACTCACCACCTCTGTATGTATTTATCTCTTACCCTTCTCCCTTCCCCAAGCCAGTAGAGATTTTCAAGCCCAGGTGACACTGATGTCTGCTATCCCATTCCTATTGATCACTGTATCAGCCCAACAACAACAGGCAGGTATGCACCTATTTGACACCTAAATTCTGGACCTGGCATGTAGCGCCACAACATCCATCTTTTCTGGAATTACCCTAAAATTAACCACGTTGTATCATCCAGTTATCACCAGAAGTGGACTCAACCTTCATTCCCTCTATGTCAATATCAGGAATCTATGGCCATAAATTCACACTCCCTCTCCAAAAGCACATCACTCTTCCCACACCTCTCTCACACCTCCACTCCCGTAGCCCCAGCTCCCATAGACATCTCCTTGGTCTTAGTCATTACTCAGCATGTGTGTTCCAGAGACTGAAAGGCAAGTTCCAACAATATGAAGTACTAACCTGACCCTCATTGCCCACACCCAAGACCCAGCCTTCAGTTCTGCTATGAAGGCATCGCTCCCAACGTGCTTTTTCCTTCCACCTCGCCTATTGAGAACCACATCAGATCTCAGTAACCCAGAGCCCACCTCTACTTCTGCTGCACTTGATGTCCCTGCTACACTCACAGCCTATGGCCCTTTACCCCATGCTCACTGAGTGTCACAGATGTCCCCTCTTGTCCATGAGCAAATCAACCAAACTAGATGCAACAAACCAGGCCACACAAAGGGTCACAAGAAATCCAGGTGAGTGTTTAAGAAGTAAATATGCACCAGCCACAGTCTAACCTTTTTTGAATTACTCTTCCACCTCCAATAATAATAGGTGACCTTCAACTCCTCCCTGGTCCAGATGGTTATTTTTTTAAGTAGTCGTCATTGTGAATTACTCCTCAGAGTTCCAGATGGTCATGAACTGGTCTCTGAAATATCTCATACCCTAAGAGGAAAAAATAAAATATTTTATATTCCTCATGAACATTACTTTTCCCACTATGAATTTCTCCATCTCAGTGAAGGTGCTTTCATATCTTCAGGTGCTAAATCCAAACATTTAAATCATCTCTGATTCTCACCCCTCTCTCTAATCCTCAAAATTAGAAAATCGAGGTGGCCACAGCTAAATCAGTGAACCAAAATGCAACTGCTTCTTCCACACCCACAACCACCACTGTGCTCCAGGTACCCTCACACTCACCAGCACTATCACAGCAGCTTCCCTCCTGGGCTTCCTACCACCGTCCTCACACCCATCCTGTGCATCAGGCTGCAGCCACAGGGAGTCTAGTGAGACCTGGGACAGGTCACCTGCTCTACTGCTCCCATGACCCCAGTGACCCCATCACCAGCAGAATAGAAACCCAAGTGGTCACAAAGCTCCTCTGCACTTGGTTCCTGTCCGACTGTTTCCAGTTCCTATTTTTAAAAAATGGACCCCTGCTCGTCCCTGAATCAGCTTAGTCTGCACTCGAAGCCTTTGCACATTCTGGAGCCCATGCGCGGAAGGACCTGTCACACACAATTCCACTGGCTGCAAAGATCAGCTGCCACTCATCTGCCCTTGACCTGGACATAAGGTTCTGGACTTGGTGTCCCTTCAAGGTCCCCAAATCCAAGGTCCCCCGAGAAGAGTATCCGACAGCCCCAGGACCCCACGACCTCAGAGGCCACCAGAGTGTGAGGCCCTGACATGAGCCCCACAGCCCCGTCCCCTCAGCGGCTCTGCACCCGCAGGAACCGGTGGGAACTAAAGGGCTGAGGGCCGGGCACCCACCCCAGGACCCAGGGGCTCGGGCTGCTCAGAGCCCTGGCCCCGCCCCGGGGGGGTGATGCCCGCCGCCCTCGGGGCTCAGTCCAGTGCGCACCTGCCAGTGACCTCATCACCTACAGGGTCCTCCTTCCCGCCCTCCTGCTGGCCTCTCCCGTGTAGTCTATTCTTCCTCTGAGCAGTTTTGAGAAGAGGCTAGAACCCTAACTCACACTAGGTCCCTCTTTGGTTCACAGCCACGGATGGCAGCAGCTTCCTGAAAACAAAAGGAAAAGTCCTCACACAAAACTTCGCTTCATCTTCTTTGTTGCCTTTAGGGATATGACAGACCTGGGTTCCCCCATCCTCCCTCCTCAGTCACAGCCCCACCGCCTCACACGGCTTTTCAGCCTGTCACCCTCTCCCACCCGGTCACACCACGTGGCACCCTCAAGCCACTCACTGTTCGGGTGCTGAGACCTGGGCTGCAGGCGGGACAGGCACCCACCCCCCAGGCAGGAGGGCAAATGAGGTGAGGCCGGTTGAACTCTGGAAGCAGAGAGGAGTCGGGGAGGCATGGAGACTCAAATCCCGCCGTTTGGGGGTCAACAAGCCTCAGAGACACCCTGCCCAGCGGGGACGCTGCCTCCACCACCTCCTCCTACTCGACAGGTCGCAGTGCTTTCTGGGTAATGTAGTTTTCTCAACCGCCCAACAGAGGGCTGGCTTTCCAGCCCAGGAACTTGGGGAACAAGGTGATGTCGCGCTGCCGGGGGCGCTGGGGGAGGAGGAGATGGGAGAAGAGGCCTGGTTCACGGGGACAGACTGACCCCCCAGGGGAGGAAGGTGGGGGGGAGAATTCCTGATCTAGGCTCTCTAGGTGAGACTCCACAAAATAAAATGTGTTGTTCCCTAAAAGGAACAGATCACATTTTTGTAATTAGGCTGATGGGAACAAGATACTTTTTACAAATGTGGACAGACAATAATATAACTAAGTTGTTAATTCTCATTTGTAATCATATAGAAGCTGTGTGTTGAACAGAAGCTCGCCCGAACAGCCATTTATTTCCAGGGGCCACATCAGTGCAGCGACTGTGGAACTGAGAGGCCTAGACTCAGCTCTCAATCCCAGTACAGACTCTCAGCCCCACCCCTTTCTTGTTAAGGAATTGGGCTCAGCCAAGTTGCACACCTGTCAGCAGGTGCACTCCTCCCACCAGGCGAGGCTGTACCATCAGACACTCTCAAACCACGTGTACAACAGATGGGGGCAGTTTTAGGTTTATGTTGTGTTCTTCTCTGATTTTCCGCGACTGGGTTGGTGCTGCTGCCAATACAGTGACCTGCTGATGGCAAAGAGTCACTTGCTTAACTCAGCGGCTTGAGTGGGCACCACGTAAAGCCCTCCAAACAGACAGGCCTGCCTGGCCAGTGCTGATGCCCAGGTTGTTGGCTACATCCCCAGGGGTGGCCTGTGGGAGGCAGCCAATCCATGATTCTCTCTCATTTATGTTTCTATCTCTCCCTCTCCCTTCCACTCTGATATATATACATAAATGTTAGAAAAATAGATAGGCCTGACTGTTGTGTTGCTTTTCTCTAAGGATGGATGTAGGTGGGTGATGTTGTAAAAAGGGTCTCTGCTGGTGTTTAGGGTGTGAGTTGAGCTGTGATTTGGGAGTCCCTACGGCCTTTCCAAGACACGTAAACCTGCTGAGGGGCCGCAGAGCTGCCCGGCACCCTATTACTTGCTTTACAGCCCTGTGCTGTGGGTCACTTTCCTCCGACTCCACTCAGAGTCCTCGGGTGTCTTCATCACGTCCTAGGTCAGTGGGTCAGCATGTCTTTTAGTGGCTGTAGGTCTCCCAGCTGCGCCCTTTGTTGGAGTCACTTCTGTGCAGCTGTGTTTTTGGAAGTGACCAGTGCATGGGGGCCCTTCATCCTGGGGGAATGAGGGTACATGCATGGGGGCGGGCCTGCCCAGAGGGTGCGACAGGGTGCATCCACCCCCTTTCCCTCTTCCTGCACTAGGACGGTAGACACCTCCCAGAATTGCCTCAATGAGCTGCTGGGGGAGAACATGGCCCTCGAGGCTTCGCAGGTGCAGAGGATGAACCAGCCCCCCCACCTGAGCTGGGAGCTGGAGCAGCTGTGAGATGGCAGGCAGCAGCCCCTGGCGCCGGGGAGCCAGCCTGGCTGCGGCTTCTCCCTCACCCAGGGAGCTGAGCCCTGGGCTCTGAATCTCCTGGGTCAGCCCATCCTCAGCCAAGTCAATAGGGTTTTATTCAGGGGCCATTTGGGCTGTTCCATTGCCATTCTCCCCACGGAGAACATGAAGTGTCTGGGAGCCTGGATGTCAGGACATGAACCACAAAGTAAGTGTTGCCAGATTTCTCAGCGCCTGTGTGGACAGTCCCAGGAGCTTCCAGATGACAGCACGCTGACCCCAGAGGCTGCCTTAGATCTGTCCGTGGGGGATTGAAAGCTCTGCATGGCAGGAGCCTTCCCCAGTGCTCACTGACCTCATAACAGCAGCCTGGGCTGATTCCCTCCATTCATGTCATAATCGGGCAGATGGGTGCAGTCTGCTGTCTATCTCCCTGGGCAGGGGTTGCTAACTGTCTGCTTCTCAGGCCTCTCCCTCTCATGCTTGGACCCCTCCGAGCACCCAGACAAGGGGTACGGTTGGCCAGGGGAAGGGGGGTGGGTGGCAGGCCATGCAGCAGGGAGCCTGGGCCCCCAGCAAACAGGAAGCAGGCCCTGTGCTCAGCACCAGCACGCGTGCACCTGGGAGCGCGGGGAAGGTGCTTAGAGCTCAGCAGGCGCAGGAGGGCCTTGGGCTGGGTGGGGAGGGGCTGCTTTTCCAATTCTCATCCACATCCCTCAGCGTCAGGGAGAGGCTGCTGAGAGCAGGTGGCTATTCCTTCTCTTCAAGGGGTCCCATCAGCTCCAAACTAAAGTCAGTTCAGTGAACTGTGAATCTGGGTGAGAAGGTAGTTCTTTCTGTGGTTGGGTGTCCTGGCTCTCCTGGGGCCAGGGGTGGGCAAAAACGGCAACATGGGAGTCATGAGGCCTACCTTGAGAGCTGTGGAAGCAGTGTGTAATCTGTAGTGGCCACGCACAAGCAAGGGACAGAGGTGGTTTGGGTGGGATCCCGGCCATCCGGGAGCTCTTGTTTAGGGGGGCTGTGCACTGAGTGTCACTGTGGCTGGGCAGGACTCACTGGCTCACGGGTAGGCTTGGGGTGGCACACATATGTGCAAAGCGCTTTACAGTTCCCCAAGTGCTTTTAGCCCTTTACTCTCTTATCCTCACTATAGTGCTAAGAAGTATACATTCATCATCCTCTACACCAGGGGTCCTCAAACTATGGCCCGTGGGCCACATGCAAATACAAATATTGTATTTGTTCCCGTTTTGTTTTTTTAGTTCAAAATAAGATATGTGCAGTGTGCATAGGAATTTGTTAATAGTTTTTTTTTAAACTGTAGTCCGGCCCTCCAATGGTCTGAGGGTCAGTGAACTGGCCCCCTGTTTAAAAAGTTTGAGGACCCCTGCTATAAATAGACCAATAGATAAATTCGGTACCATAGAGCACACTACTACTCAGCAATAATAAACCGTCACTATCCACATAAACATTAGTCTTGAATCTGAAAATAACTGTGTAGCATGGAGGAAACCAGTATTTGTTAAAGACTACACACCTTCTAGTACTTATAAAATTAGAAAAATATGAACTATTCCACTCAAAAGAAGGAAAATCCATGACTGCATGGAGGGCCTAGAAAGGCAGGAAGGGAGATTATAAAAGGGCAGTAAGAATATACAGGATGTGGCACAAGTAGGTGTAGAGTTGTTGGTATGGAAATTAATACAATAATGAATAATATTACAGAAAGAAACTCTTCCCTGCCAGTGAGCCTCAGTTGGTTGGCACCATCCCTTGCCCTGAAAGTCACCGGTTCCATTCCTGCCTGGAGGCCCTGTAGGTGGTGGGCAGGAGGCAGCTGTTAGCTGCATCTTTTCCATATCGCCATTTCTCATTCTCTGCCTCCCTCACTCTTTCTAAAAAGCCATTAAGTTGTTTTAAAGATATATAAGATACTTATTTTATTTTTTAATATATTTTGGAGAGAGATAGAGAGTTAGAAACATCGATGAGAGAGAAACATCGACCAGCTGCCTCCTGCACATCTCCTACTGGGGATGTGCCTGCAACCCAGGTACATGCCCTTGACTGGAACCGAACCCGGGACCCTTCAGTCCGCAGTCTGACGCTCTATCCACTGAGCCAAACCGGTTTCGGCAAGATACTTATTTTAAAAAGAGAATAAACTCTTAGTTTGGCATATTGACATCTTTAAGCCTACTTTGCCCCTAACCTGTATATGGGTGAGAGATAAGTTTATTTCACAGGTGATGGTATTACAGCTTGATCCATATGTCCAAGCTCACAAAATAGTACACATGAGAAAAGTACAGTACATTTTGTTACATTTCAGTTATAAAGATACCTACATAAAGCCTTAAAAGTATTTTCAAATAAAGACCTAGACGTTCTTGTCTTGTTAGAAAATTAAAATGGAAACACTATTAAGGACTCTACCATCTCTCTCCTAATTTCCTGAGAGGACCGGCCTTGTCTCAATGGCAGCAAATATTGTCAAGCAGTGCCGACTATTGCCACGGGAATCAACAGGAATCACAAAAGACTCATCATGGGACTGATTACAGGCGTATCCTGCCTCTAGCTTGGAGGTCTTGCCTGCTGAGCAAACCTTGAGGTGAACACCCTAGATGGGCAAGGGGAATCCGAACAGCTATCACATTATTTTTTCTGCCACTTATTTCAGCCACAGGAGACAGTGATGGAGGTCCTGAGAATGTCTGTACACGAAGATCACACAAGCCACAGCCCACTGACCATTTGAGGATAACATTGAGAAGAAGCACTTTTCATGTAATTTACTCCAATCTTTCCCACTCACTATGAACACAGTGTTTCTGTCCTAATTGTGGTTCAATCTAATGCTCAGTGTCTTAAAACCAATGGCACCAGCCTATGAAATTTTACATTATGTTACCTGGCTCCATTACAGTATGTGGGTAAGAATCCCCTGAAACTTTGCTGAGAATTATGTAATAAATGCTGTGAACAGAGAATAATTTTCATATTGTTCACAGAAGCACAACAAAGGCCTCCTTTTCTGGGTGACCATGACATCACCAATAATAGAGGCACCAGGCTGCAAATTGGATCCACAAAGTCATGCACACTTTCTCTCAGGGCCATGGTGAGCAACACAAAATGAGCCAATATTGGACAAAGAGTGCTGTTCTGAAATCATGCTGTGCTTTCCAAAGCACAAGAAGTTTGGGACCCTCCGTATCTCTTCACCTCTCCATGCTGACAAAGCACTATTTTCCTTTCAATCATCCCAAGGAATCAAAAGAACCAACAAAATTAAAGGTTGAAAGGAAAAACCCTTTACAAAAAGATCATAAACCAGAGCAGAGGAATGCAAGAGGTTTGCGTGTTGGTGAATTGGAACCTGAAACGATTCACCACAGCATAAAGTGATGTCCACAATGTCCCTGAGAGAGGTAGCACTTCTCAGCTGAGGATGGGTGCCCTGGATGAAACCTGGGTCAGGTCAGTTCTCATGTCAGAGATAAAAGATTGAAGATACAGTCAAGAGCTCGAAGAATTCATAATTTTCTCAAGCACACGGGAGAACACAGAATTCCTTTCCCCTGAGCACACAGGGGTGGTGACAGGTGCACACTGTTCAGGTGAGCCAGGTGGTAGAGGAGGTCACTTCAGCCACAAAAACTAGCAGTGACATCAATGAGGTGGAGTCCTCAGAAGTTAGCAAGTGCAATGCAGCTCCCTCAGGCCTCACTTGTACCTCAAACGTATGAGGAATTTCACACAGGGTATATTGAGATAAAAGGGTTTATATTCAGGCAAAAGGATTAAAGTCTCCTTTAGTGTTGTAGAGTGAGAAAGATAAAAGGTCCCCTGCACATTTAAGGCTTTTCTCCAATGTGAACTCTCAGATGTCTAACAAGGTTAGGTTTCCATCTAAAACATTTCCCACATTTACTACACTTATATGGCTTTTCTCCAGTGTGATTTCTGTGGTGCTCCATGAGCGAACGTCTTTCTTTAAAGGACTTTCCACAATCACTACACTCATACGGCTTCTCTCCGGTATGAACTCTGTGGTGTTGATTGAGGGCAGACTTTTGTCTAAAGAACTTCCCACAATCACTACATTCAAAAGGTTTTTCTCCAGTGTGAACTCTCTTGTGCCTAAGGAGAGTACTATTGTCCTTAAAAGATTTTCCACAATCAGTACACTCATAGGGTTTTTCTCCAGTGTGAACACGGTTGTGTCCATTGAGGTGAGAGCTTAACCTGAAGGACTTTCCACAATCACTACACTCATAAGGCTTCTCTCCGGTATGAACTCTGTAGTGTCGAATGAGGGTAGACTTTAGTCCAAAGAACTTCCCACAATCACTACATTCAAAAGGTTTTTCTCCAGTGTGAACTCTCTTGTGCCTAAGGAGAGTACTATTGTTCTTAAAAGATTTTCCACAATCAGTACACTCATAGAGTTTTTCTCCAGTGTGAACACGGTTGTGTTCATTGAGGAGATAGCTTAACCTGAAGGACTTTCCACAATCACTACACTCATATGACTTTTCTCTGGTATGAATGCTGTGGTGTCGAACGAGGTTCCCCTTTAGACTAAAGAACTTCCCACAATCACTACATTCAAAAGGTTTTTCTCCAGTGTGAACTCTCTTGTGGTTAAGGAGGTTATGATAGTTCCTAAAAGATTTTCCACAATCAGTACACTTATAGGGGTTTTCTCTAGTGTGAACCCTTCCATGTCGAATGAGGTGAGAGATCCGTTTAAAAACTTTCCCACATTTGTCACACTCATGTTTCACTTCTGCAGAGCAGGCAGCCTGATGCTGAACAACTCTCTGGTTGTGGCTGCCAAATTTCTCACAGTGACAAGTCTGCTGAAGACTTTTTCCACCAACATAGTTCTGTGAAATCTCACTGCCCCTGTGTGGCTTCTCAGTGTTGAGAGGGGTTTGGTGGTGGAGAAGCTCTGAGATGTCTGGGAAGACTTTCCCAACCTCCCTACTGGTTGAAGGCATACAAGGTAAATAGAAGCTGCAGCAGGTCACAAAGGAGGCCCTGTCCAAGACGTCTTTCCAGGGCTTCTCTCCACTGGAAAACTTTTGTTTCTGTTGATGGTTTGCACTGAAACAGAAGTCTCTCACACATGCGTCACTGAAGAAGAATTTCTGCTCAAAGTCTGCTGCTTGTGACTCAGTCAGGTGAAGAATATCTTTGAACACTGAGAAACACCGCTTACACAGATGGGTCCTCTGGGATGCTGGCTCTGTCTTAGACGCCCTGACCTGTGACACCCCTTGAACAGATACACTCTGCTCAGAACAGGCCTCTGCATCATCCATTTTATGCCAACAACCTGAAAAAAGAGAATTGAGAAGGAACTGAAGTTGACTGTGGTGACAGGGGAAGTGCTATTGCTAAAGCGTTTTGCACTTAATACATGGGTTCTCTGCAATTGTCTGAAAATAAGAGAGGTGAAGGAAGGATTAACAAGAAACGGTTGTGAAGGTCTGGGCCGCTGAAGGTCAAAAACATGGAAAACCTCACCTGAAACATGACACACAGACATGGCAAGGACCACATGGAAGAGAGGATGCATCCCCAGCTCAGGCTCCTGCTAACAGTGCTGAGCAGGGCTGGTCTGCTGGTGACAGGAGCAAGCTGTGAAGAAGGTTGGTTATGTCTTCTTCCAAGTAAAATTCAATAAGCAAGTAGCAGGCGTTCAAGGACTACTTAAGCCTGTATGTGCACCTCATCACACATGTGCAGGTCCATGTAGGAGAATACTGCACAGGGAGCAGTGCAGAGGGGGAAGGTGATGCAAAAAGGTGACAAAGGTGATGGTAGCCATAAGCCAGGAAGTCACAGATGAAATGCACGTCAGCAAAGTGTCAACAATGGGAAAGAGAAGTTAGAAATGGGCTGTAGCTAGTGCCACTTGCCCCAAAACACTGTTGAAATTCGCTGGTTCCTGGTACCACCTGACCACCACCATTATGTCATACCTTCACCCAGTTGTCATTCAGCATGGCCAGATCTCCTCTGAGAACCTCTTGCATGTTCATCCTATGAGTAAACCAGGTTTCTCCCTGATCTTCTACTCTACCGATGCATAAACCCTAACTATTCCAAGTATTAATGAAAGACAACGGAGGAGAGCAGCCAGCTCTGGCCCAGAGCACTTTGGCCCACAGCAGTACTCAGCTAAGGTAATATTACAAAGAACAACTGGAGAAGCGTCTTACAGGAACAGCCCATGGTTCATGGAAGTGAAGAACATAACCTGGCACAGGCTGCCATAAAGCACCTTTCCCTAGAGGAAGAGGGGAGAAGGGAATAAATGTGGGTATTGTCACCCTCCCAGGGAGAGGAAGAGGAAGGTGGGACCCATTAAGTTGCCAGTAAGACTCCCACTTTCCATACACTTTCGGCACTTTTTGAGGCAATGGGTGTCAGGGATGTTCGCGGAGTCCATTGGTCAGGGCTCTCCATACAGCTCAACAATGGCAACCACAGCACATTTCACAAGTCAGTGGCAGGAATTAGCAGAACTCATGGTCTGGCTGTGGGAGAGAGAAAGCTATGTTTTGAGAATAAAGGAAGAAAGGGCATCACCTCAGGACACTGGGAGAATGTGAAGCTCTTACCTACAGATGAGATCAGAGCAAACACTTCCAGCATCGCATCGCAGTACAGAAGTCTCTGAGCCTCATCAAGGAGCCCCCACTCCTCCTGAGAGAAGGCAATGGCCACGTCCTCAAAGTCCATATCCTGTCGTGATGGGGACAGTTCAGTCCATGATCAGCTTCTCTCCTAGGCTTTTACTTTCGTCATCCTTCCCACTCTCCATATGCATCTGCTCCCTCCACTTCCTCATCACAGAAAATAGCAGGCCTTGCATCCATCAGAGTCACTTTCTTCTTATATTCCTACTGATACTCTGTCTTCCCACAATACTCAGGGCACATGATCATATAGATGATACCTGTGCTCTGGGACTCACATGTAGGCCACACTGCTGCTTTTCAATACAGTGGGTATCATAAACACAAGGTAGTGCGAGATGGTGTCCATGATGAGAGTGTGAGGATTTGACACAGTGCTTCTCAGGCAATCCGCTGTTGTCCCCTGGATTCTCATTTTAAGACCCTGATAATTTTGGTCTCACCTCAATCCTCTGAACCCAATCTCAGGGTGCTGAGGCCATTACTGTGCACTATGTCCTGGACATAATTCCCTGAACCACACTTCTGTCACACAGCTTCATTCCCAGAGGCACAATGTCAAATGTAACACAAATATGCCGCGATACACACGGTTTATTTCTTAATCATCTTCTTTTCCAAAATTCAAATTCACCACCTCTGTAATGTATTTCTCTCTTACCCTTCTCACTCCCAAAGCCAGTGGAGATTTTCAAGCCCAGAGGACAGTGATGTCTGCTATCCCATTCCTATTGGTCACTGTACCAGCCCAACAACAATAGGCCAGTGTGCACACATATTTCACCTAAGCTTTCCACCAAAGTTATACCATCACAATCCACCCTCTTTCCAGGAATTAACCTGAAACTCACCACCCTGTATTATCAGCAGGTAACGGACTCAACCTTCATTCCCTCTTATGTCAATGCCAGGGCCCTGCATCCATGACTGCACATGCCCTCTCCTAGGGCACATCACTCTTTCTCCTCTCCTCTCTCTCACCTGCCCTCCCACACCCACGGCCCCACAGTCATCTCCTTGACTTCCTACTCATTACTCAGCATGTGTGGTGTAGTGACTGCTTGGAAAATTCAACCAGGATTAAGTTCTACACCAACTCTGAGAGTCCACACTCATTGAGGCAGCCTTGAGTCCTGCTATGAAGGCCTCCCTCCCTGATTGGGTTTTCCTTCCACCTCACCTATTCCTCCCACACCCACAGCCCCAGAGTCATCTCCTTGACTTCCTACTCATTACTCAGCATGTGTGGTGTAGTGACTGCTTGGAAAATTCAACCAGGATTAAGTTCTACACCAACTCTGAGAGTCCACACTCACGGAGGCAGCCTTGAGTCCTGCTATGAAGGCCTCCCTCCCTGATTGGGTTTTCCTTCCACCTCACCTATTGAGAAACTCATCAGGCCTCATGTCAGATGCCTGGCAACCACCGCCAGGACCTATGGGCTCAGGGTGCTCAGGGCCCTGGCCCTGCCCCGGGGCCGGGTGACGCTGCATCTCTCGGGGCTCAGTCCAGTGCGCACCTGCCAGTGACCTCATCACCTACAGGGTCCTCCTTCCCGCCCTCCTGCTGGCCTCTCCCGTGTAGTCTATTCTTCCTCTGAGCAGTTTTGAGAAGAGGCTAGAACCCTAACTCACACTAGGTCCCTCTTTGGTTCACAGCCACGGATGGCAGCAGCTTCCTGAAAACGAAAGGAAAACTCCTCACACAAAACTTCGCTTCATCTTCTTTGTTGCCTTTAGGGATATGACAGACCTGGGTTCCCCCATCCTCCCTCCTCAGTCACACCCCATGGCCGTGCACGGTGGCTTTTCAGCCTGTCACCCTCTCCCACCCGGTCACACCACGGGGCACCCTCAAGCCACTCACTGTTCCGGCGCTGAGACCTGGGCTGCAGGCGGGACAGGCACCCACCCCCCAGGCGGGAGGGCGAATGAGGTGAGGCCGGTTGAACTCTGGAAGCAGAGAGGAGTCGGGGAGGCACGGAGACTCAAATCCCGCCGTTGGGGGGTCAACAAGCCTCAGAGACACCCTGCCCAGCGGGGACGCTGCCTCCACCACCTCCTCCTACTCGACACCAGAGCGCTGAGGCTTGCGAGCCCCTGAGCCTACAGAAGAGGGAGAAATGAGCGCCAGAAGGAGGACGCCGGAAGTCCCGCCCTAACCGGATGCGCGGGAACCAAAATGCACCTTACCTCCTCTGACGCTGGCGCAGTCCTTTCTGGGTAATGTAGTTCTTCCTACCCCAGAGGAGGGCTCATCCCAGCCAATGACCTTGGTGAGTATAGGTGTTGAGGCCCCACAAGTGGTGCTGGAGGACAAGATGGGACTGGAGGTCTGCTTAACTGGTTCATACTGACAGATCTCTCAGGGGAGGGGAGGGAGGCCTGGAATAGATCCACCAAACATTATATACATATACAGGGGGAAATGGGAGACATCTGTAATACTACCAACGATAAAAATACATATATTTGAAAAATATTTTAAAATACAATAGCCCAGCTAGTGTGGTTCAGTGGTTGAGCATCAACCCACAAACCAGGAGTTCATGGTTCTATTCATGGTCAGGGCACATACATGGGTTGCAGGCTCAATTCCCAGGGAGAGGGGAGGGCCAGAAATCAGCCTATCAGTGATTCTCTCTCATCATTGATGTTTCTGAAAGGATATAGAGGCCAACAGGCTGACATTTCCTACATTGTTTGAGTGTCTGCAGTCAGTACACATTGTGAAGCTGTGGAGCTAAGAGTTACTGAATGTTCACTACATGTGCCAGGCCCTGGATTCAATGCTTTATATGCATTATTGTTATTTCATTTAATCCTCTCCACACCTGAGATGACTTAAGCATCTATATTATGGGGAGGAAATCCGGGCTCAGAAACTCAAGGTAAATTGCCCGATTGTAGAGTTAATAAAAGGCAGGGCTGGAAGTCAAACCCCTGTGTCTCCAACAACAGAGCTCTGGCTTCTAATGTTAGGCTCTGTTGCCTCCTAGAGGATAGAATAGGGGATGCATTCCCATTAGGACAGGCTAGTTGTTAAAAGCTTTAGTAACTTATACTAAAGAAGGCTTCTTTCTTGCTCATAACCCATGAACACCCTGGATCTCCTGGGATGGAAATAAAGAAGAAGCTCCATGTTGGTACACGCTGGGTGTTATCAGAGATAAACAGAAGGGATGGCCAGTCTCAATGGTTCCAGACTCTTCTGTCAGAGGTGACAGGCTTCACTCTCAACCCATTTCATTGATCACAGCACATCACAGGCTGCAGCCAACAGCCGGGTTCAGCAGCAGAACCTGACCTACTTGATGGGCCCGGTAGGCGACCACACGGTGCCAGCCTCTTGTCGGGGACTGTGCAGGGCCAAGGAGAGGAGTGGGGATGGGTAGGAAATGACAGTGGAAGTCCGTCAGGATGGGTCCCTGTCTCCTCATCCAGGTGGCCTTTGTCCCCAGGTTGCCCTAAATTGTCACTGGCAAGATTCAAAGGAGTGAACCTCAGAAAAAGGATGTTGGCCAGATGGCATTGGCAGCAAACTCAGGGCCCATTTGTGAGTGTGACCCTGGGTAAATCCCTGACTGCCTGGGCTCCCCACTGGAGTCGAGGTGAAGGCCCACATGGTAAGGGTGTGGATTGGGAAGGTACAGGAGCGCAAGCATCCATGTTCTTTGAAATAAACACCAGGCACTACCCTGCTTCCAAGTCTCACCTTTTGCATTGGCCAGGTGAGTGCTCCATTAGGTGGTAAAAATGCTCACATTCACATCAATGGTGACCCTGTGGTTTCCATTCACTCTGTACATGAACCTGTGGTGAACTAGCAACTGTTCTTATGAAGAGACCCCCAGGTTTCTAATGTCAAAAAGCCTTGCCAGCGACACAGGAAGCCAAATGGCAGTTTTCTTAAACTACAGAATGCCGTGGAGACCATGTGGGGCTTGTAATCGATTTTCTAAAGATGATTTCTTGAGACAGATGGAAGGCTCCTCATTCTCTCAAATATTATTTAATCTATTGCATATCCTGCCCCATTATGGTGACTTTTGGCCAGAATTTTTGAGATTCTGTGGAAATTTACTGTCCTGTCTCCTTGTAAATTTCTTTTGTAAAATATATTTTATTGATTTTTCACAGGGAGGAAGAGAGAGGGATAGAGAGTTAGAAACATCGATGAGAGAGAAACATCCATCAGCTGCCTCCTGCACACCTCCTACTGGAAATGTGCCTCCAACCAAGGTACATGCCGCTGACCGGAATCGAACGTGGGACCCTTCAGTCAGCAGGCCGATGCTCTATCCACTGAGCAAACCAGTCAGGGCTCCTTGAAAATTTCTGTGTCATTTACCTCTGGAGGACTCTCCTTCCTGACTCTCTTAGCATGCAGGCCAGGCTGGATGTTGACCCATGGAGGAACGTTCAGGGCCATCTTCTCTCCCTAGATTGATAAATATCTATCATCTCCTTCACTTTCTAATCTTCCAGACACTCCAACCCAACAGAGGACCACATGGCTCAGCAGCCAGCATCGCCACCTGCTGGGCAGACAGGGAATCAGCCTCTGCAGAGAGCTCCTCTTCCTCCCCCAGCAGGGCAATGGCAGGAGCACTTCATTACCATGGACTAGGTTGGCCCTGCCTGGGTCACAAGTTTTCTTATAGCGCATGCTCACTCCCAGGTCACGATGCACCAGGAACTCCGGTAGCAGAGCTCGTCCCATTTCCCACAATCCATGGCCCCAAACAACGGAGCAGCCACAGCCTGACTAGACAGGGCCTCAAGAGCCACACACATGGCCCAGCACCAACTCTCCCTGGAAACCACCCTGAGGTTTCCTGCCCACACCCAGCTGCCACCGCTGTTCCCAGCCCTGACACCTGAGTGGAATCTGGGCTCCTCAAACCCCTGAAGATGCAATAGCCGAGGCTCAACCCCCGGATGGAAGGTGTAGAGACCACAAGGGGCACATCCCAGCCCAGAGCTTCTCCCGGCTGCTTTGGTTTTAGTCCAGGGAGCACACAGATGTCATCGTCCCCTGTGGGTG